GATGAATGCTTTTCTATCAGCACGTAGCACATTTCAAAGGATGGAGAAAGCAGATTTAATAATTGTTCCCTATAGTGCTGGAACATTGTCATACAATTGTGAAGGCAATTTTGAATTCCAGTTGTATATAAATTGGCATGGACTATACTCCCAAACATCTGTAAGAAATTTTTTGGCATGCACTGCCATTTGTAACCTGCAGTTTGGCTGATCTGCCCATATTTTGAGTAATGTTTAATCAATTATTGCATGGATTCACTCACACAAACCCATATTGAATAGACGTGCTGCAGCAGTTTGCATTACTATGACATTTTAGTTCTCACATATCTGAAAATTTGTTATTCACAAATTCACCTCCATTAGCTGTTAATAATTTTGTTGGCGATCCAAGGCTTGAGCCTAGTTAACTTTCCATTCTCTATCCACTGTTGATCACAACAAAGGTCAGGTTCACTTTGCACAAGGCTATACCTCTCCAGTTAAAATGTGGTTAACTAATTTTTATTATAGCAGTAAACAATCACAATATTTTCTTGAGAGAAAGAAAGCGAAATAACTCATGTATAGGAATTGTTCACTTCTTGAAAATAATGTTTAGGACTTGGAACAGTAGAACCCTCATGGACACCCTAGCAGAGACAGACTTGACTGTCACACTGCTATTATAGCCCAGAAACTCAAGCTCTATGGCATTGACATTGTTACCCTTAGTGAGGCACTGTGGTCAAGAGAAGGTCTATTCAAAGAACAAGTGGAATGGATAAACCTTCTTCTTGAAAGATAAATTTGAGGCTTACCCTTCCCCAAAATCAGGACACCACCACCACCATTATGCGTGTTCCCAAATTCTAGATGCAATGGATGAGGCCAGAGAGGAATTTTACTCTAGCCTCAATTAGTCAATGCCCTAAGTTGCAAAGGGAGATGATCGTGATTCTCCTTGGTGATTTCAATGCCAAAATGGGAGTGACATAAGCCATTCAAAAGGTATGATTGACAAGTAAGGAATAGAGAAGGCAAATACCAGCAGACTCCTCCTCCTGATGAAATGCCTAGGACATATCTGGTCATAACAAACACCCTATTTCATCAGCGAGACAAATGCAGGGCCTCATGGCAATACACTCACTCCAGTCATTGGCACCTGCTTGACTACATCATCATGTGAGGAAGGGACCACAGGGGTGTTTGCATTACCTGCACCATAACAGAAACTGATGATTGTTGGATTGACCATGGCCTAATCTGATTTACAATCTCCATCAGCCTAGCCCAAAAACAGATGCGGTAACTGGAGACCGACAGCAAAAAATTCAATGTTGACAAATTCCAAGTCTCTGCAAATAAAGAACCTCTCAGTCACTGTCTCATAGCCAATCTGGTGTTGCTCAATGAACAAGAATATCCAATATGCCTGAACTGCCCTGAAATCCATCTTAAATAGCACTTACAAGGATAATTCTCTACCATGAAACTTCAAGACTGGTTTGATAAGAATGACCACAGGATCCAGATTGTACTAAATCACAAGGACAAATGGTTCCTGAACTGGAAGCACCACCAAATCCTGAAGGAAAGAAAGTGGGTTTACAGAGAAATGAAGGCCAAGGTCCAAAATTAGCCATGGCCTTCAGTAACTCACTAACTACTATAATATGTGTGGATTCTTCTACACAGTTAAGACCATCTATGACCGAAGCAGCCAAGGACTTATGCCACTGGGAGCTTAGAATGGAATCAAGCACAGACAGTGCACATTGGAATGAGCACTTGGAGGATCTCCTCAACTAAGACTCTGTCCTCAGTACGGGTGACCTCAACAACATTTCACAGCATGTGACTTACCACTACATCTGCACAACCATTGCCTGACATGAGGTTCAGAAGGCCAACTAGCAGCTGAAAACCAATAAGGTCACTGGCAGGATCCTGACTGAAATAATGTAATATGGTGAAGAAGCACTCTTGGTATGAATACAGGATCTCATTGCCCTCATCTTGGATCATTTGAAGGTTCCATGGGGAATGTGTCTGTCATTTCCCAGACATCCACACACTGATACATAATGAAGTTCATCAATGCAATGTTCAAAAGAACCGATAATTTATGAGATGCATCACAAATGGTGAGAGCTAGTATGTAAGGATTGTTAGATTAGGTTGCATAGCTGGATTTCCCCAGGTGCAAGGGGCAATTTATGGCATACATGACACTTAGACAGAACAGCCAGCAGCGTTCAAAACTGAACAGGGATTCATTACATTAATGTGCAGCTGGTTTGCACCCGTCAGAAATAAATCCTGCAGGAGTGTGCTCACTTCTCACGAAACTCTCATGACTTGTACATTCTATCACTCACAACTGTTTATTCCCCCTGTGCAACTATAGATAGCTCCCAGATGGCAAGGCTATCCTCAGAACACTTGGCTCATGGTACCAGTGTGAAGCTCTCAAACCTCAACTGCGAAGATGTACAATGCCTCCCAGCTTCAACAAGAGAAACAGCAGAAAAATATGTTTGTTGCTGAAGATGAGGTTCCGCTGCCTGGACCACTCAAGTGGTCAAGTACAGAATCTAAAGTCGAATCTCATGGACCACTGTTGTCTGTTTTGCAAAACCTCGAACAGCAAAGAGGCAAGAAAATGCCAGCCAGAAATGTGGAAGAGATGGATTCATCCTCTGATAAGGATGAAGGAGAAGAATCAGAAGACTGTGAGGCAATATATAAGGCGTCTCCAGCTCCAGATACCAGGGACAAGGTACACCATATGGGAGAGGCCTATGGCACATTAATTGAATCCTGATTTCAGCCAGAGTCAAACTTCTGCAGATGTTTCGATTTCAACCTCAAGAAATGTTGCATTGAAAGTGCTACCTGATTGGGAGCACTCCCCCAGGCACTGCCTGTAGGCCCATGACATTTAGCACCCAGAAGGGAAAAGGCTACAGATCCTGCATGAACCGAACTACATTGTTATAATCTTGGTAGAGACCACTAACGTATTTAATTTTTTTTTAGAATGCAAAATCAAATGTACGTATTTAATGAATTAAGCTCCAAGGTTCATAGTTTAAAACAAAAGCATTAAACTACCTCATGATCAAGGAATGTAACTTCTAATAACTGCATGCTGTATGAAAATGTCAGTTACAGTAAAGATATTAAAAGTACAATGAACTCCAAATCAATCTCATCCAATCTACTTTCCTTCTACACCCATTAGTCTGACATCCCAACACAGAACAGCTTTGTGGCCCTCCGGGCTATGGCAAATTTACCTTTCTCCTATCTCAGATCTTCTTTGTTGTACTTCCTTCCTCTTCCTCCCCAACTACAGTAGAAATTCTATCACATTTTTACCTTTCTTCAGTTCAGAAGAAGCCATGTTTGGCTCAAACATTAACTCTGTTTCTCTCTCCATTGATGCCGCCAGACTCACTGAGTATTTTCACCATTTTGTTTTAATTTCTAATTTCCAGCATCTGCAGTATTTTTCATTTATAAAATAATTGGACAGGTAAATATTAGAATGTAGGGATAGAACTTAAAGCTATCTCCTGAGGTGACTTTATAGTCAACAGCATTTAATTAGATGGGAGGCGTTGGTTGTGGATCACTGCCTTCCTGCCCTAACCCAATTAAGTCCTGCGTGGGAGTTCTTGAGGGCAGCCTTCCCAACCAGTGCCAATTCAGGCTATTAAGAGGGCAATATATGTCCACTTAATGGCTTCATCCTCCCTGTATTTGCTTGCAACTTGTTCCCAAGAGTAAGGTTGTCTCTCATTGATTAGCATTCAGTGTGTTATCAAGAGACCCAGCATCGGGTAGGAGGCAGCCCACTGAGAACCATTCCCTGCTTTTTTGTTCTGAACCCCCTGCAACACTTAGCCAGTGACCACCTCCCACCCTGCTAACTGCTTTAGGTTCTAACCAAAGTGAGTGAATGAGAAGGCATGGGTTTTCATGTTTAAAAAATCATTTGCATTGCAGGTGATGAAATACTCAGAGACCCAACAGGTATTTTTCACATATCTTTGTCCTGTGTTTATTAGAGTGATACAACACAACTGATGTATTGCAAGATTTCTCATTCTAATATTTTTCCAAATCTCCTAATAACATAAATATTGATAAACATATTAAGCACTGGTAACAATATTAGACTGCTATGCGATCTATAAATGACATATATATATTTCAATAAAACTATTTGTTTGCAGTGAAATCTACAGTAATTTAATGACCACAAGTTATTAGCTAGTCTTTATTATTCCAAAATAATGTAACAGTCAATATACTTGCTACACCATCATGAAAATGCATATAATAAACTCATTTGGCCCTTGTGTGTCTGCTACATATTTAAAGTACTCATTAGAAGGGTACGAAAGATTCCATTGGGGATTGCCTTAGAATAACCAGCCCATGGGGCAATTTCCAATGACAGGCCACCTGTTTAAGGGATTTCTGACAGTTGGGAATAGCAACTGTTCTGTGATGCTCAAAACTCAAATAATGCACTTTTAATACAGGTATAAACACCTGCCACTAACATCTAAAACAAGAAATATATGTTAGTACTGAAAAATTGGAAGCAGTTGTAAGACCTTCTTTAGAATGTGAAATGAGAAATGGGCAGTAAGAGGCCTGGGTGTGTTCCAATCACTTATACAAGGCAGTGAGCAATATGATCAGCAGCTTTTAAAGCATTGCTATGGGCTACCTGGGTCATTTTTGGGAGATTTTTTTGTGTAATTAGAGGGACAGGAGTGCTCACTCTGTAGTAAGGCTCAGAATCATTCCCACCTCACTGAAGATTCTCAGTGTTAATTTATGGCCAAACAGTTTTGAATTTCTTTACTCTTTTAGCTTCTACTGTACTTTCTAATTTTATTTTACAGTGGAAATATATAAATTATCTTAAAAAACAAATCTTTAAATAGTCTAAAGGTTAATGTAAGCTTGATAGGTCATGGTTTAGTGAACAAAAGTACCTTCACTGTTGGATATGTTTTCTTGTTCTTTTCACTTGCGACTCCTGGCAAGCCACCATGAGATGGTCCTTCACATCCATAACGAAAGCGGAAACCTCGCTTAAAAGCAGAAGTAATATGAACTGATTATTTTGTTTGACAATTATTGCAAATTATTACAATTTTGTTCAAGATTTTTGTTTTGCACTCTTCAGGACAGTTTGCAATAAATATCAAAGTAAAGTGGAAAAAACATTATACTACAGGAGAGAAGAATGTTGATTGGTTGGCAGGTGGACTCTGTTTTGCAGAGGTGACACCGTGGAGAATGAACCAGATAGTCGTGACTGATCGTTAACTTCTAGGATTTGATTAAATTTTAAACAGCGCAGGTTGATTCAGACAGGTCAAAGAATTATCCTGAGGAATGAATCAGAGAAAATAACCAGCTATTTTATTGAAATGAAACGGGCACAAAGTGTGTACATGCTCTCTCTGCTTGCAAAGAATATGGCCCTGCATATTAATAGTTGTAGCTTCTGTTACATGCAAGTGCACTAAACTCAGAAACTAACTGATAAATCTAAAATAGTTGGCCAGAATAATTCTTTGCACATTTGGATTATTTGGCAAATGTAATTCAATCACCGAAACAAGTTGAACGTTGAATATCATGCTCAGAGTTTTCCAAGTGCTGATTGGGCATAGTCAGTACCTAGCTTATTGAGAATAGCCAAGGGCAATGCTGATCTATTAATCTTTGTCACATATGGTCTACATATCTAGCATCACACCACGATTGAAATTCACATTCCACACTATCCAACCGGCTGATAGCCTACTGCCTTATTAGCCTGACAGCAGCATCCAGCCTAGGTGGCAAACTCCATTCATGTTGTTGCTGCAAATCGGCAGCCTGAAACAGCTAGCTTCAGCAATTGCTCAAACTTTTGAGATACCTTACTCTTCAACGGTAATCTGAGGGAGACTGGTCATTTTCCAAGGCCAAAAATGATGGCCTTGAGTCTGTTCATGGATCTGCTTAATATATAGTCACCATTTGCCAGGGAAGCGAATGTTCTATGAGTGAATGTACGTATACACACACACACACACACAACTAATAACACTTATTTACAGGGTACGTTACATATCCCTACATACCTGGATCCCCAATTCAACTGCTGTGCAAGTCCCCATAAGCCTCATGAGGATTCCCCATTCTGTCCCTGATTGGACTAGCAACTCTCATGACCTGTCTCTTAGATCTCAATCTTAAAAGGGCCGACTATTATTTCCTTCCCCTTTAGAGTCCCTTTTCATGCATCAGAATAATAAAATTACAAAGTTACCAAAGCAGTAATGGTAACATTAGTCCATTAATAAGTTTGTTAGGTGACTTCTTTCTTGCTTAACTGACCGAGGTTCTTCCAATGAAATAGTCACTGTTGGACTTACTTCACAAGGACTTATGCCTTGGGTCATTGTCTCACCGCCCTCTGTTTCCTGTGAGACAGCAGTCTGGACTGTTACTGGTCGATCTAACAATTCATTCCCCAGTCAACCCACAACGCTTCCTGCTAGTACCATGGGATCAAGCCATTACACTGGTTCTTGGGATGGCTCTTGCCCATGCAAGTGGTCCAAATGTTTTTTTTAAATTTTGTCTTGTACATACTTTCGAAGGACACCGGCCATGTTCTGGCCATAATGACTGTTGGAACTCAATTTGGTCCATTAACTGAAATTTTTCATGAACACTGCATCATTTATCTTAAATGCTCTTGTGCTTCTAAGTAAATCATTGTTCCTCACTTGGTTCCTCTGGCTTGTTTCTGTCCTTCCCAGTAAATTTGGGAAAACCTGGCTTAACCTGGTCCTTAACCGACAACCTGTTATCAACTAAGCTGGACAGATACCAGTATTTGTTTGTGGGGTGACCGTAGATGATAGCAGGAACCTAGTTAACTTGGTGTTTAAAGAAGTGGGTAGTTCTTCTTCAAGCAAGCCTTGAAAGTTTGCACTGCTCCTTCAGCCAGTCCACTGGACAAAGGATGATAAGATGCCATTCTGGTATGTTTTATTCCATTGTAAGTCATAAATGTCTGAAACTTAGCACTGGTAAAACCTGCTCCATTATCCAAAATGAGGACCCTGGTACCCTGTGTAAAACACTGGGCACAACTGTGTTGTATGCGGTTGTGGATCTCACCTTGAGCCCTCCATTCACTTTGAACTGACGTATGTGAATGACAAAAACATCGTCCCCAAAAACAGCCCCACATAGTCAACCTGGACACTAACCCATGTTTGACCTGAACACTCCATGAATGTAACTGAGCTGCAGCAGGCAATCTCTGCTGATATTGGCAACAATCACTGTGCTGTTCCACTTCTTTGATTTTTCCCAGATCTTCCTAGAAAATATCTTGGTGCTTACTGATGATCTTCTGTGAACCCTCCATCTTTGATGCTGAAAATCTCCAGCCAATTTAATTTGATATCTTGGAGCCAGTCACACCCCATTAAACTCCATCCCTGACCAGCCACAATGATTGAAGGCAGCTGAGCAGACTGCTGTTGGCAGCTCACTGGAGCCACTGTGGTACCTACTATCTTAATGGCCTCCCCCATGTCGGTTGTCAGCCTGGTCCCAATGCTGTCTAACCACATGGGATGGACACCTTCTTGAAGATAGCAGTAGGTTTGCTCCCCCTCAGTGGTATGGAGGCCCCAGTGTCCACATCCATCTATTGCACCTTTTCATTTGCCAATAACCCCACTGTGATGGGGATCACGTTGACTGCTTTTACATTATTGACAGATGTAACTGTCTACTCCACCTCAGGACCATCTTTTATCAGGTACACTGGTGCTGTACTGTTAGATTTACATGTGCTAGGCAGACTCAGCTTATCCTTGCACTTAAGCATCAAATGTCCTTTTTGTTTGACATCTGAAGCATTTAGTTTCCCCTACATCTGAAACACTTTGCGCACTCAGGGTCTATCCAAGGTTGTTGGCTTAATCTTCTGTACATTCTGGCTCTTCCAGTTCCCATATTTATATGGGGATGTGTTGGTCCAGTGGTATTAGGAAGCTAGAGAATGTTCCAGGGACTGGGTTTGAATCCCATTTCAGCAGATGGTGAAGTTAGAATTCTACAACAAAAATCTAGAATTAAGAGTCGAATGATGGTCGCAAGACCAATATTGGAAAAACCCATCCGGTTCACTAGTGCCCTTTAAGGAAGGAAACTGGTCTGACCTACATGTGACTCCAGATACACAGCAATGTGGTCGACTTTTAACAGCCCAATGGGAAATTAGGGGTGGGCAATAAAAGCTGGTCTAGCCAAGCTGTAAATGAATAAAAAACATTCACTTCCCTGCTTTGACGCCAGATGCCACTCTTTCTTGTGGTTTCCTGTCCTAACTGGCAACTGCGCTGCTCAGAGCACTTTATAATTCCTGGGCATCCTTCTCTGTGCTCTTCATAGCTGAAACAATCTCCATCAACCTTTTTAAATCTAATTCCAAATTTGCCAAAAGCTCAGTTGGCTGGATGGCAAGCTTACAATGAGAGTAATGCTAACAGTGTGGAATCAATTCCCGCTCTGGCTGAGGTTACCATGAAGGACTTCCCTCTCAACCTCTTCTTCCTGCCTGACCTGTGGTGACCCTCAGGTTAAAACACCACCAGTCATCTCTCTCTCTCATGAGAGAGTAGCGCTAAGGTCCAACAGGTCTATGGTGACTCTGCCTTTTACCAAATCTTCTGTAGCCAGTTAGAACGGCTATAATTTTCTGAAAAAAGGATATGACTGTTATCTTCTTTGCAGGCTGCACTTGTCTGGCATTTTTTTTGACATTTGAATTGCTGGCCTTTATCTTGTCACCAATGTAATAACTTTAAAGCTTGACTGTACCAGTTAACTTACAAAACACAGCGATTTAATACAACTTATTTACAATAACGCTTATTTACAGCATACATTACAGGTCCTTACATAACTTGCTCCCTGATCTAACAATTGGGCAAGTCCCAACATGCCTCATTCAGATTCTTTAGTCTGTCCCTGATTGGACTAGCAGGTTACATGGATCCTCCCTCAGGGCTTATCCTTAAAGGGCCAACTACTGCAACTTGTGACAATGTCAAATGTTTTCTTGCCTCCTTAAGGGAACAGCAAGAAGCTGGTGGAACGGTCAAAGCCATTGGTACAGCCAGTCCACAAACCAAAGTTGGAAACAAACTGTGTGATCTCAGGCAGCCAAAGTACCTTAGTCGTTCCAATTAAAGTTCAGTTGAGTACCAAACAACTTGAAATTTGTGGAGACGAAATATCATAGGCTGCTGAGAACCTTTCAATTTACAAGACTCTCACTCTGGCTTTAAAGCATCAACTCAATTCAAGTGACCAGGTCTGCTACATGGACACTAGGGATCATAAACTCAGCAATTAGTTACAAGTGAACTTGTGATCCTTACGTGAGTGTGTGAGGGAGAACAAGCATGTTGAGAAATCCTGTTTTAAATTCAGGGAAATTGTTTGAGAAGAAATAACTTTCTGTATTTTAAAATCTCAGACACTTTTTCTAATTATTTAATTGGAATGCACACTCTGAAGGCAAGATAAAGCTTGCTTCTTGCTTGTAAAACACGCTCATCATGGACGGTATAGGGAACATGCATATTCTGTCTACGAAAATGTTTGTTATGTCCCACCTCTTAATTAGTTGGTGACTGCACTGCACCTTAACCTGCCTTTGTTTCATACCTTCTAACACTTCTGTCAAACAAAAACACATCAACCTCAGTTTCAAAATGACCCCCAAGAAGAGCTCTAAATTTCCACAAACTAAACAATGTTTCTGGATATCATCCCTGAATGGTGGATCCTGCAAACCTGAAATCAAAACAGAAATTGCTGGAGAAAGGCAGCAGATCTGGCTGTACCTGTGGAGAAAGAAACAGAATTAACGTTTTGAGTCCAATATGAACCTTCTTCAGAGCCCCTGACATTAACCACCCCAAGCAGTCTATTGAACATATCCAAATCTCTGCACTGATAGCAGGTGATGTCTTTGTCTTATTGTGCCAGCAACCCAGACTGAAGGTTGTCTTCCATGGTGACTGAAAAGTACTCCCTTTAAACTGTGAGTTTTGGCCATTTGGTTGAAGAACATTCAGTGTGCTTACCACACATACTACTGGCATTTAGTAAAGTGTGATATATATAGCATGATGCTATCCAGCAACATATCCACTCTTTTGACTGATTACCACTGATTACCATGACAAGCTGGCTAGCTTTATATATGCGCTAAAAGACAAGTCAAGACAGAAATAATGAGGGCTTATAAACTCTCGCTGAGGGGACAAAGTGCCAAAATGCAAGGTATGACAAGGTTTATGTTATTTTGTTTGTATTTCTTTTGTGGCATACACTTGTTTTATGATTAAATCTGAACCTGTAGCTTAGTGTTGTTATGGTTTAGTACAAGACCACCACATCAAATTTTTAATAAAATGATCTATCAAGCAAGATTTCATTCTAGAATCTAAGCTGGAATGCCCATACAACAAAATGGAGTCAAGATGGCAAGTCCAAATGATCTTGTAGTTTTCAGAAATTAAACAGAAATTTCTGAAGGAACTCAGCAAGTCTGGCAGTATCTTTGGACAGAAAGCAGAGTTAATGTCTAGTGACTTTTCTAAAGTCACTATAGTTTTATTTGTAGGTTGTAGGTATATTGTGGTTTTCAGAGTTGAGGGTACATCAATGGTTAATATGGTTAGTTATTTTGACATGCCTATCAAAAGCAGTGCTCACTTAATTTGAAAAGATGAACGGTTGTGAAAAGCGGGCTCATTACTTAAATCAAGAACAAAAACAGAAGTTGCTGGAAGACTCAGCAGATCTGGAAGCATCTGTGAAGAAAAAGTCAGAGTTAATGTTTCGGGTCCAGTGACCATTCCTCAGAACAAGTTAACATTCCACCCAAGATGGGCCTTAAAGTTTGATGGCTGTTGGTGCCAAAATTACAGATTATTATCCTTTCAAAGTAAAAGGGATCGAGAGATAGTGATAGAGGGTTGTAGGAAGAATAAACATATTGGATGGAGTTGGTTTAGTGATCCAAGTGGTTTACTTTCCATTTGATTTTCTTATGCTTTTGTTAAAAAATTACAATGCATTAAGATGAAGTTTTTATTTAATGGCTTTAGTAGTTCCCTGTCTATTTCCATACATTTTTATGGAATGCTGTTGACCCTAGTAGTGTGTGATAATATTGCTTGTGCAGTCCTAATAACCAGTATTCATGTTTATTAAAGCATAAATATTTACAGTTTAAGCAAAAATGAATAATTGTTCACATGATTTGTTGTAGCTCACCTGTTTTGGCTGTTCAATTATTTCAATATAGGGATCACATCCTAAATGAGACAAAAGTATTAGCCATCAGTAAACAACTAATGAAAAGAATAGGATGATGGTTATCCAACTGCCTCCTTCATTCACACTGAAAAATGGGCAACGGTAGACAAAAATTAAAGGAAGCAAAATAATTTACTGAAAAAAGATGACTAGCCTCATAAAATATTAAAATTGGTATTTTACACCCTTAATAAGAACCTGACATTATTTCCAACTGCCAAGAGTTAGAACATGTGCATGATCCACTCACCTTTCCAGGATCTAGATCAGCTTAAAGCAGTAGTTATTAAAGACTGAATGCTCTTCCTAGCTCCACAAAATCTTGCCACTGGATGATAGATGCTCAGCTCTCTTTGTCACTAGGATTTCCTCAGCTCTTTTAAAACAGAAGCCTGCCTGTGCTAGCAATTCACCAAACCCATTCTGATGAAAATGAAATGATAATGAAAACCCATTCACCATGCAAATGGTTCCCACATCACATTATGGCCTTCAAGTCAGAGGTGTGATCACTTCACCCACTGCTTGCTTGATGTAGGATATTTATGCATAATCAGTTTTAATGTTCTTGTAATAGATTTAACATTAATTGCTGCACAATTTGTTTTTATCAAACTATACAGACTGCTACAAATTAATTTCAACAATCAATTTTCAAAAGAAGCCATTCTATTATTATCATATTAGTAAGCTGAGTTTATAGAGGTGGTAGTGGTGTAGTGACAATGTCATTGGACTAATAGTCTGGAGTTCAAGAATAATACTTTGGAGACATGGCTTTGAAATGTACCATGGCAGATACTGAAATTTGAATCAATGAAAATCTGGAACAAAGAGCTGGCCTAATAGCGATCGTGTAACTCCTGCTGATTGTTGCAAAAACGCGTTTGGTTCACTAATGTCCTTTAGGAAAGGAAATCTGTCATCCTTATCTGGTTTACATGTGACTCCAGACCCACAACAAAGTGGTTGACTCTTAGTTGCCCTCTGAAATTGCCTAGAAACTACATAATTCAAGCAGCAATTAATGTTGGCCCAAACAGCAACACCCACATTCGATGAATGAATAACAAAGAATAGTAACGATTGAGAATTGTCATAAGAAACCCATCTGGTTCACAACCACACTGTGTAGAAGCAGTTTACAGCTCTTACTTGATCTGGCATACATGTAACTCTAGACCCACAGAATGTGCTTGACTCTTAACTGCCCTCTGATAGAGCCTAACAAGCAACTCAGTTGTACCAAACTATTACAAAGTCTAAAGCAAGGAACAAAACCAGACTGTTAACCCAGCATGGATTTTAGCACAGGGAACAACAATGGCCAGTTCAGCTTGTCAATCCGGCAAAGTCCTCCATACTAATATGCCAATATTTGGAAAGCCTTCCCACAGACCATTTAAACAATAAACAACAGATATGCATAATCATACTCACATGATCACCTTACTGACCATTCCCAGACACCAACAAGAAACTCTGCAGCATGTTGTGTGGGGGTACCACTTGTTCTTAATTGGGCATACCTTCTAGAGATCTAGAAATTTAAAACTGGACAGAGTACATTTTGTATCCTTACCATCCGAAGTGCTTCCTCCAAGTTGTGCTAAACATGGAAGAGTACTGATACATCAGCCAAGGAGGGGTAATAATCAGCATGAGGTTTCCTTGTCCATGCTTGACTTGGTGCCATAAGCCATTACGGGGTTTGATGGGACAGGAAAAGTCCAGGGATGGTGATCCAATTGGCTGGGACATTGTCTGTAAGTTATAACTTTGTTAATATTACTGTATTAGGATGTTGCTTGACTAGTCTGTGAGGCAGCTGCCCAGTTTTGGCCCTAGCACCCAGATCTTGCTAAGGAGAACCTTACAGGTTTGACAGAGCTAACTTTGCCATTATAGTTTCCAATGCCTAGATCAATGCCAGGTGGTGTGTCCAGTTTCATTCCTTTTCTGAAACATTCTGGTGGTTTGATACAACCAAATGAATTCTTTGACTCTGTGACTGCAGAGTCACATGTAGTTCAAAGCGAATAAAGACCTAAAAAACGTTAGTGAATCAGATAGTTTTTTGCAACAATCGACAATGGTTTTATGGTTATCATGAGACTTTAATTATATATATTTTCAAATTCCAATTCTACTATTGGCCATGGTGGGAGTCAAACTTGTGTCTCTGAATTACTACTTCAGTGTCAATACCACAATGGCACTAAGTCTTCTCTTCCCAGTGCCCGAACCCTATCAAGGCACAAGGCACAAGTCAGGATTGTGATTGAATTCTCTCCATTTGCCTGCATAAGTGCAGCTCCAACAATACTCAAGAAGCCGGGCATCATTCAGGACAAAATGGCCTAGCTGGTTGGTACCCTATCTACCATCTATTACATTCATTTCATTCACTACTAACACACAGTGGCAGGAATGTATATCATCAGCAAACTACACTGCAATAACTCACCAATGCTTCTTCCACAGTATCTTTGAGACCAGCAATCTTTACCATCTGGAAGTCCAAGGGAAGCTGATGCATGAGAACACCTGGAAATTTCCCTCCAAGCCACTTACCATTCTTGGTTTTGATTGTATTACTGTTCTTTCATTGTTGCTCGATCAAAATCCTAGAGCTATCTCCCAGGAGCACAGTAGGTATGCCTAAAATCCAAGGACTGTAGCAGTTCAAAAAATCATCCCGCCACTACCTTCTCAAAGGCAATTAGGAAGGGGAAAAATGCTTGGCCTAGCAATAATGCCCAAATCCCGTGACCACATGAAGAAAACAGCAATACCAGGCAACTCATTTACTGCAGGGAGATACGATGTGAAACCCATCATCTCCTCCACAGAGCCATTGTGAGCATTTCAAGGAAAGAGATAATCTGTAATGTACATAGAGGATGTGCACAACGGCTAGGTGGATTTTTGTGAGGCTGAAGTAGCATTCAGATAGAATGAAACACAGTCTGGGCAGAGAGCTTGTAACAGTTGTTCAAAATATATTGATTGCATATGTTGTGCATAACATGCTGCCAACGTAATCTGTTGGTCAAATTAATTTGATTGAGTGGTGCAAGCACCTTTGGGCATTAAATGGAAATTTTCTATAGGTCTACACTAATTAAAACCCATACTGTGGGCTGAGGGGAGATATGTGAAAAAAATAGAGTCTTTGCATCAAAATTGGGAGCTCATTCCACACTGTTTTGGCCCAGGCATAGTCAACTTGATAATGGCTGAGGCTCCTGGTGAGAAGACAGCACAGAGGAACAGGAGGAGGTCATTCAGCTGTGGAGCCTATTCCACCATTCAATGAGATCATAGCTGAACTGTGGCCTAACTCCATACACCTGCCTTTGGCCCATATCCCTTAACATCTTGCTTAAGAAAAATTTATTTATCTCAGATTTAAAACTAGCAATTGACCTAGCATCAACTGCTATTGTGGAAGAGAGTTCCAAACATCTACCATTCTTTGTGTGGAGAAGTGCTTCCTAACATCTCCTATGAATAGTCTGGCCCTAATTCTCAGACTATGCCCCTCAGTTCTAGAATCTTCAACCAGTGGAAATAACCTTTGTTTTGATCTACGCTGTCTTTTCCTGCTAATACCTTGAAGACCTCGATCAGATCACTCCTTAATCTGCTAAATTCTAGAGAAAAAAGTAATCCCTCCTCATAACTTAACCCCTGAAGTCCAAATATCATTCTTGTAAACCTACGTTGTACTCCTTTGAAGGTTAATATATCCTGCAGCATAACCTCTGTGTCCTTACAGATATAAAGGCCAGTATTAACCTTCTTCATTATTTTCTGTGCCTGTTTGTGGCATTTTAAAGATCTATGCACCTGAATCCCCAAATCTCTTTGGACATCCATTGTATTTAACTTCATGCCATCTAGAAATTATCCTGCTTTTTGTTTTGGTCAAAAATTAATAACCTCACACTTGATTACGTTGAATTCCATCTGCCACAGTTTGGTCTATTCACCTACTCTATCAATGTCTTTTTGCAATAAAATGTGGAACTTATGTATAATTAAAAAGACAGCAAGACATCCTTCCTCTGCACATTTTATGGTTATTCTAAAAATGTAACAATATAGCTGGGAATCAGTGTAAAACAAGTTCAATATCATATTCACTTCACAGCCTTTTGCATGATTTTCAAACTACAAAGAGTTCCTGTGACAACATGTGATACAATAATCTTTAGCTTTTCATGAATTACATTTCGTTTACCAAACTGTCACAATTTTGCTTTTACCTTCACTTTGTGTTTACTCTATCTACTGAATTGGCCTCTGCACATTGCATTAGAATTCTGTTGGCAATTGTTTTTGGATCCAGTGAGCTATAGGGATAAAGAAAAATAAGTCTGATGGATTTAATACAGAGTGCAGGTTTATCCAAATATGAGTCCATATAAAAGTAGTCTTGAGATCTTGTAACTTGAGGGGACACTCTTATATCAATAGGCAAACTGGAGGTCAATTGGCAAGTCAACCTACATGTTAATAAGTCATTATATATTATCAAACTTAGGTCAGTATGCAATTATGCCTTGAATATCAGTTCTAAAAGAAATGACTTTGTAAATCTTCAACTATACATTGCATCTTGAAGTTCAGTTGACATGAGAAACACATTTAAAAAATATCCTTTAGGTTGTTTAAGGACTTTGTATGGTTGAAGAATAAATGTGCAACAGGTTGTCAGGTAACATTTGTAGCATACAAACTTGGACACAATACATTTTACTTTTGGATAGTCTTGTCTTAACTGTGCTTCCTTTCTCTGAATTTATTTTATGGTCCTGTTGGCAGCAATTGGCCTAACCCCTAACCACTGACAGAAATCCTGTCTCAAGGAAAATTGTTCTTAAGTTTCAAACAGGACAACCTTATTCCCACTCATCCTGAGCAAGACACATCCATTTTTCCATCCATAGTTGCTTCAACGCAAGTACTTGCACAAATAATCTATTTCATACCTTTACAGTGAGTTTCATTTTACTTAATTTTTAAATGTCACTTTTCCCTCCTCACACCCTTCCCCTAGCCTTGGCAAAGGCTGACAAAATATTTTAAATTAATTCTAAATCTCTACAAAGAATGAGGTAATTACCTATTTATCTTTAAATCTGTACTTTCCTTTAAATTTCCACTATTCATTTTTGTGGAGGCAGCGATGAACAATCATTCAAACATCAGAAATTGCTGGTGAAATTCAGCAGGTTTGACAGCATCTGAGGAGAAAAAGGAGAGTGATTGCTTTGGGTCCAGTGATCTCACTTCAGAACTCACCGGACCTGAAACGTTAACTCTGCTTTCTCTCCACAGATGCTGCCAGACTTGAATTTCTTCAGCAATTTCTTTTTGTATTTATTTTAGAATTTCAGCATCTACAGTCCTTGTTTTGTTTTATATTAATCATTCATGTATGCTTTCCATAAAAGTTCGGAGACAGCTGTCTGATTTCATTATTGGCAAGACTTGTGCCGGTAGGTAGGCAAGAAAGTCAGAATCAAAGCTAGTGAAGGAAATTGCCCTTATCTTTGCGATGATGCTGTCTTTCTCCATATGCTATAAACAGCAACCATTTCCTGTCATCCAGTAATAACAATAGGAGTCACTTACTGAAATGTGGAGAAGGATCTGAATAGTTCAAATCTTGACAGCTGAGAACAAAGTCAATGTCTGCGTTATTGTAATGATTCATACTCTCCATCTATAAAAAAGTCAAAATAGAATTATACAGATTCTACAACTTTAAGTGTTTTGCATGAAGAATCCTTTTAAATATTACAACATAATTTTTTATTAATGTTGAATTAAAAATGCTAGCCAAACAATAAACTAATGAATGAACATGACAGGGCATTTTATGCAAACTATTTGACATTCGTATGATGGATTCTGTCAGTCCAGTCAAGCAAATTCACAAGGAATCTAATCAGATTGAACACTTGCTTTTCGATCCATGGCTCTGCATTGTTATCAGAGATATGCAGATCCTACAGTTCCACCTACCTGTTCACCGGCAGTAGTTGGACAATAACAGTGACAGAAGTCAAAGCTGTGGAAAGGGATCCAAAATCAGAGCAATTAACAGCATTTGCAGAAGCCTTTGAAAGGATGTGTCATTTTATGGGGGCATTTGAGATAGGGTCAATTGTTGGAAAATCAGAGAAAACTATACATAAAAGTTATTGAACAATAGTTTGATCAGAAGCTGATATTATATTGGTTATACTTTGTGCTTTGTCAGCTGTTTATTCACAAAATAAATTACCTTTTATAATTTCCTAACTAGGGTGGTGCTACAGTGACATTGTGTATTGATGTGTAATGCCATATGCTCAAATAGAATTGGTTGTGTAATTTTTTGATGCAAGTCATCATAGCATCAACTATCGATTAACTTGGTTGGCTATTTGGTTGACGGTCAGAACAATACCAACAGTGTGGATTCAGTTTTCATTGTGGTGGAGAAATTGTTTCTCTCATAGAAATGCCTTTGATACTTTGTGTCAAAGAATCAGCGAAAGGACTGGACAAAACAAAATTCCAAAATAAAGCTGCACTGTCTTGACTTAACAAGTTTCATTGTCATTTCATTGGTAATTCAACGCTAAGCAAGATCTCTACCTCAAGAAGGCAATCATGTAAACCACTGAGCAGCATTCCAGCATGTAGTAATTTTTTTCTTGCCATTGTTAAAGTTTTAAAAAGTTTACATGTTAGCAAAACTATAACAGCTTAACTGAAACAAAAACTACTACATGTGACAAATAGGATATACATACCATATCATGAAAATAACTCAGTGCCAAAGATTTTCTTAGAACTGCTCTTTAATCACAGAATTGTTAAGTGCAGAAGGGTATCATTTGGTCCATTGTGTCTGCACCAGAAATATCAAGAATTATAGTTTTTTTTTCATAAACTTTTCACAATCAACCAAATGCAAACAACATGTAGTGCATCAAAGTTTTCTTTAGAAACATTGTGACCAATTTGTGCTATTATTTTTATCTAGGATTTTTAATGATTTGGTGTAAGTGTAAACCAATACTTTGGGTATTATTCATGCTACATGATACAAAATAAGTCACCCAGATTTCTCAAGTTGTATGCAGAAGAACATGAGTCTTTTCTAACTCTTCTCCTCTGTTGACTGAAATATACTTTCAACAGGTTCTTTACATTTGCTATGGAAAGTATACATTTCTGATTGACAAGACTTTTAAAGCTATCTTCTTCAGTCATGTCCTCCATAACAGATTTTGTTTCAGATGAATAAAACCAATGGAGTTTTGAACCAAGTCATTTTCCAATTTCTTGAAGAGGTGTGTCACAGCTCTCTGCACACAGTAACTTTTTTTCTCACTGACATTTCAAAAGTGGAGACCTCATTTCCATTTCTTTCATAAATTCTTCAAATATTTGTTTGCAGTCTTATTTTCCAATTCCTTTTCAAGTTTGTTAATAAATTCATTCATATTAGCAACTGCTCCAAGCAGTTCGGTTGCCTTTATTACAGATTTATGCATAAAACCCTTACAAAAGTTTGACAACTACATGTAGGTGTTCTCTTCATTTTGGAATATTGTTCTCAGGATTACTGACTGTTCCTTAGTCTCTTTCAATTTACTCATCAACAATTAATTCCATCCCTTAAGATTTTCTGTAGCTTCTTTTAAAGACAGTATCTGCATCCCCGTAACACACATTCTCATCATTCCCGTGCTCCAGATTGGAGTTCAAAGCTTTCAATGTTCCTTTTATTATTAAGTTTGACACCAACTGTTCAGATTTATCAGCAATTTCATATGTTAAGTGTCCCGACTCGAAAAGTCAACTTTCCTGCTCCTCTGATGCTGCCTGGCCTGCTGTGTTCCTTCAGCTCTATTCTGTGTTATCTCATATGTTCAAAGTGTTTTTTCATGATACTTCATGGAACCTTCTGTTATTTGAAGGTCATCAAGTTTTAATTGAAGATTTATCTTAATTGAATTTGCTTCCAAAGAAAGAAACAATCATTTAGATATTTCAACTCCTCAATCAAATGTTTTACTTCCTGTCATCAATCCTGAAGAGTCTTCACTGGTTCTCATTTTCCATTTGCAAACTGAATTTCTGTGCATGAAAGATGGTTCTTTACACTGACCAATTTTCCTTTAATAGAGCCTTGTTTCTTTCTTTCTTCATTCTTGGCTGTGTCTTCTTTTTCCTCATTTCATTCCTTCTTTCATTGCCAAACTCTCTCTCCCTGGAGTTCAAGTTGAAATTTTCTCATTTCTTTGTCAAGTTCACAATTTCTCATTGCTTATCCCTTTTTATTTCATGCTGAATTATACTGGGCATTGATGTCTGGAGATGAATTCTAGTCAATGTAAGCTGTGTTCTGGCTTGTTTAGACTCTTCTTCTTACAATCCAATTTTCTGTGCTATTACCTTGACTATCTCTGTCTTAGCACTTTGTTTAATATCTATCCTGAACCTTTCTGCTAATGCTATTAACCCAGCCTTGGTAGTTCTTGCAAAGTAAGGACTAAGACTTGCCTTTCCAGAAATGCCATAGCAATAGACAAAGGCATTTTTGTTTACAATATTTGCGGTAAAGTTCATTAGAACATCTTAAACAACTTTACTCTCAGCAAATCCCAACACTCGTAGTTGTATGCAGATTACAAAATCTTGCAAGAAATTCTAAATTAAGTTTGCATCCCAGACTAGACCACTAAATTTATCTTATGACCTGGCTTAGGACAATTAACAATTTTTTTAAAGTTGAGAAATGTGCTTAATAAGAGAGTAAAGAACCACGATTCTTTGTTTGTAAATGTTCCTACACCATACAGCCATCACCTGAGGTCCCTACCAATTTGATTCAGACCATCTAACATCAAGAAATGGCTGGAGGCACTGCAGGGGCTGTTGGCCCTGACAACATTCTGGCAATAGTGTTGAACACTTGTGGTCCAGAAAAGACTGTGCCCCTTACCAAGCTGTTCCAGTACAACTACAACATTGGCATCTTTCAACAATGTTGCTAATTGCTCAGGAAAGCACTGTGCACAAAAGCAAGACAAATCCAACCTGGACAAGTACCACCCCGTAAGTCTATGCTCAAATATTTGCAAAGTGATGGAATGGATAACAACTGCAGGATGTTGATAGTGGAGAATTTAAAAATGGCAATGCCATTCAATATCAAGGGGCAATTGTTAGATTTTCTCTTATTGGAAATGGTCATTGCTGGGCACTTTGTAGCACAAATGTTGCTTGTTGCTTTTCATTCCAAGCCCCAATGTTGTCAAGGTCTTGCTGTGTATGGACATGAACTGCTTCAGTATTTGAGGAGTCACAAGTGATGCTGAACATTGTCCTGAGGGAGTTCCAGAATGCGACCATATTAAAATAGTGTTCTGATCAGGAAGTGAAGACTTCCTTCTAGATCTGTGGATAAAAAGTGGTTCAGCAGATAGTGGTGTCACACAAGTACAATCTGGAGATGTTGAGGATAGCCCATGGCTGGAATTCACATGGCTGGATATGTTGGGATCTGAAAGACCCAATATTTTAACTGGCCAAGCCTCCACAAGGACATGGTGCAATTTAGTAAAACATACCTAAAATGCCAGATTGTGGGAAAGCTCCAAACTGCAATAAAACAGGCACCCTACATTCCATTCAGATTTTGGGGAACCATTTAACAGTTGACAGACTGGGTAGGACCCCGGTCAAAAACATAAAAGGGGCCAGCTGTACATTCTCACTATTCTGGATGTAGCTGCCTAATTTCCCAAGGTTGTTCTCCTGAGAAACATTTCTGCCAAGGCACTGTTGTGGAATTTAAGCCTGTTCTTCATCTAATGTGGACTACCAGCTGAGATCCAGTCGAATGAGGATGTCAACTTTATACCTAAAATTTTTCAGAAAGATATGAATAGTCTGGATATATAACACAGTTAAAGGCCTCGACCTGCTAATTATAGTCACAAGGTGCTTCAGAACCATACCATCAAAGCCTCAGGACAATGATCAGGGCATGCAGCCATGAATACACCAGCGCCTAGGATAAAGGATTGGGCTTTCTCTTGTTTGCCATCTGGGATTCATGAAATAAATCACAAATTTTTGAAAGGTTCAGAAGGACGCCATTCAGCCTGTCATATTTGCACTGTGTGCACGAGTTTTATTCCCTTTGGGAATCAGTTTACGGACATGAGGTAAGAGGTCCTCTAAAACTAATCTTTAAAGCATTATTGGAGTAAAGGTTTGAATTTTTTTTATTCATTCATGGGATGAGGGTATTGCTGACCAGGCAGCATTTATTGCCCAGAGGGTAGTTAAGGGTCAGTCACATATCGACCAGACCAGACAAGGATGGCAGTTTCCTTCCCTAAAGGGCATTAGTGAACCCAGATGGGTTTTTCCTGATGATTGACAATGGATTCATGGTTATCATTAGATTTTCAATTCCAGCTATTTTATTGAATTCAATTCTACCATCTGCCCTAGTGGGATTTGAACTTGTGTCCCCAGAACATTATCTGGGTCTCTGGGTTAACAGTCCAGCGATAATACCACTAAGCCATTGCCTTCCCTGATCTTCAATGTTAGATTACAAATCAATGTTCTGAGAGCAGATCATAAGAGTTTGTACTGTGGCTTAGCAGCAGCTTAAAACTTATAAATAACCATGAATAAATGGGCAGATGA